CAGTTTAGAATAGCATTTCTTTATATTTTTCTAGCTATGTTTAGCCTCCAAATGAGGAGCTAAACTTCCATTCTTGGTGTTGCTCATTGAAGCTTGTTGATTATTAAAGTTGTGAGTTATTTTCTTAACTTCTTTCCTTGAATATTAATTAATAGTTCTTTCCTTAATATCATCTCTATATTAATGTTGGGGAGTGTTGCTAAGATGACAATTAGTTAACATCTCGACATTAGTTAGAATGGTGTTTTCTTCCTCTATATTAATATTGAGGAGTGTTGCTAAGATAACAATTAGTTAACATCTTGATAATTAATTATAGTAGGATTCATCTTCATTAATAATATTCTTCCTTGAATATTAATTAATCCCTACTCTTATTTCATATTAATATTTTGAACATTACTTAAAGGATCAACTAGTTTTGTTTCATATATTAGTTATTACTAGAAATGATCAACGAACCGATGGTTAATCGTTGATGGTTTCACAAGTAAGTAGCTTCGGTTTATTAATGCACGGTCGTGGTTAATTAACTTAAGAGGGGTTAATTTTATTGGTTAAACCGAAACCGCTTGTGTTGAGGTTATCAATCTCAATTGATTTCATCAAGGAGTTAGAAAGATTAAATGCTACTATTAAATCGGTATAAGGCGTTGTTCTATATTTGATTAATAGTAAGAGTTATTAATGAACGGTCGTTGTTAATAACTACCCTCGATGAAGTGGATATACTCCCCGATTGAGTATTCGAGAGGGAAGAAGTTACAGATATAACAATGAACGACTGAAATATATCATCAAGTGGAAAGTAGCAATGCCAAGTCCTTTTTATCTTTGAATTAAACACATATAGGTTGTTCATATTAGTTTTTAATTAAATTAAATCACTCAATCCAAATCCCCCCTTTTTACTTACTAAGTATCATAAAAAGAGAATTATTCCTTTCCCTGTGGATACGAACTCTACTACGCTATACTACGTATAAGTGTTTAGTATTGAATTTATTTTGACGCACCGTGACAAAGTGCTCGTCATACACAATTTTAAAATGTGGTTGATTAAATGTCAGTTATTCAAAGAATTACTATTCAACTAAAATTCCATCGAGAAAAACAACTACTCCGTAATAGTGAAACCCTTGATATCGGACAAAAATGTATTGTTGAGGTTTATTCCCTTCAACCCGTAGGCCCAACACACAATCTAAGGGTTTTGAGTGGATATTTTAGGAGAATAAGGTCAAACAAGTAAGATGAGACCCAATGAGAAATTTCAATATAATTCTGCGGTTACAACGGCGTGAGGCCGTTCGTCCCCTTGCTAGGCGTGAGGCCGTTCGCACTTACGTTGTGGTACGGGCTGTTACAAAGTGAGGACGTTCGTCCCCAGATATGCTATGAACTACTATCAATGCTTTAATACTAGAGTGCTAAGTTGCCTCCCTTTACAATGAAATAAATGCTACTACCTCCGTCCCAAAATGATGATCCTGTATTTCCTTTTTGGGATGTCCCAAAATGATGGTCGTGTTTCCCTTTTTGGAAAGAAAGATGTGGTCCATATCATTTCACTTTATTATACTCAAATCTGATCAGATGTATCTTCCATGCCTAATTGTTGGGCTCGAATAGACTAAAAGATGCCAATCTTTAGCCTATATAAAGTCCTCAATTCATCAAACAAGGGGATCATTCCATCTTTGGAGCTTAAATTTCAGTTTTTATATTTTATTTTTGTATTATCTTGAAGAGTTGGAGAAGAAGCCATTTCACTTCTCTATAATTGGTTCTAGGTATTTTTTTCTTGTATGTTATTGTATTTCTTTATTCTTAGTTACACTTTTGTAATTAATATGAGCATTAGTAGCTAATTTCTTAGCTAAGGCTAGGGATGAACTTCCATGCCCACTAGGTGTTTGATAAAAGCTCTAAACCAATAAATTGTGATTTATCCTTTATCATATTGATTGTATATGATACGTTCCAAAGGGGTCCTTCCAACCCCTCACTCTACACTTCTAAATGTGTAGAACAATCCTAGGGGTCCTTCATATGATGTATAAGTCATATGAGAATCAAAAGATGAGAGAAATGTTGGTATATAGCTCCTTACCTTAATTCTCAAGGTTTTCATCTCTTTTCTCTATTCTTCCTTCTTCCTTGGACCTACTCTTGGTTGAGCTCAAGCTTCGAGCTATGGAGTTGAATTATGCAGGGCTTCTTTCTCCTTCTCTGAGTGTTTGGTCAAGCTAATGATAAAGGAGGGAGTAGGAATAATCCTACCTTGTCTCATTGAACAAATAAGTGTGGAAAGAGGCTCACTACTTATTTGATTCCATAAACCACACCTCAGCCACCTATACTTCAAGTTGTGTAGCTCCCTTTGACAATTTGATGTCTAAAAATGTGGGGTGACTCCCACTCATGTGAGAGATCATCCATTTATGTCCCCGAATTTACATTCAGTTTGAAAAGTTGTATTTCTCGGACTGTTTAAATTATATTTTATTTTATCGGACCAAATAAAATATATGACATATTCCCAATCACTATGGGCCTTTAGAATGAATATTCATTCCCAAAATTTAATTTAGAAGTCCCCAAAATTTATCACGGGTTGTTATCTGGCGAAATACCGGTACTGGTATATGAGCCTTGTTTGACCAACCGATCAACTATATGCCCTTTTTATGGCCCAACTAGAGCATCCACCACCATATACATATTATCTAGACCAAGATAAATATACTATGCGGTCCCGGAATATCGACTGGTCCCCGCCCTCGGTGTGGGCCCCACATGCATTTTATTATTCACGCAAAAGTAATAACAATAATTTACAACCTCATAAATTCATTACTCGTTTCTCAAGGTTCAATACATAATTTACCCCAAGTAAATATACTCGGGGACGATGTTACAGTATACAAGACAATTGAGAGTCGTGTACATAAAAAGTAATCTTCTGTCATTGGCTAAACTTCTAAATTTCGTTTTTGAACGTCCCAAGATAAATTTCCATTTTTCTTTTTTTTTTTATAAAAATTTGTGGTTTACAGCAATTCTTATTCATTTTTACACACGTCTATCTCTTCTGCATAATTGTCCGCAACACAATACTCACTATCTTAATTTTCATATCAGACTTACTTTGAGGTTAAATTAGAGCCCGTTTGGTAACACTGAAATTGGCCGAATTGGTTGATTATGATCAAATTTATTAAGTTCTGGTTTAGGTGGTTGTATTGACTGATTTATAAATAATTTATATTTAAAATAATTGTTATTAATAACTCAAATAAAAAATTATATGAAAAAATAGTCAAAATGATCCTTTACAGTAACATCAGCCAATACAGTCAGAATGGTAACTCCAGTCTTACTTTTTCTTATTATTACACAATTAAGCGCGCGAAATCAAAAATTACATGTTTGATAAAAAATTGACCGATAAGTCTGATAAGCCGAGAAAGTAGATCCCGGACGGGTTCTTAATGACGGGGAAGCAACACTTTTGTGTAAATCTAATTTTTTGGCAAATTATATCGTGCAACCGGGGCACCATGAGGATGGTGCGCTCGGTTGCAAAACGACGGAGTATTGTGCCTGGTTTCTTTATTTTTATTGTTTTTGTTGTTAAAAAATGGTAATAATTTTTTATTTTTGATCCGATTTTTATAAAATTTATATCAACATTTTTTATTTTTCATGATCTTTCAAATGAGACCAATATTGCTTATGTAATTTTAAAAAATTATCGAAGTATTATATTAATGAGTATTATAAGGAAAATCCAACTAAATTTTATACAGAAAAATAATTGTGTAAATCACAATTTATCTTAAAATTGTGTATATAAAAAATTTATTGTATTATGTATTTATACATGTGAGTTACATATTTTTATATGTGAAGTTACATATTTTTACACGTAAAGTTACATATTTCTACACGCGAGTTACATATATATACACACGAGTTGCATTTGACCTGTCTGAACGCGAGTTACATATATTTACACGTAAAGTTACATATTTTTACACGTAAAGTTACATATTTATACACGCGAGTTACATATTTATACACACGAGTTGCATTTGACCTGTCTGAACGCTAGTTACATATTTTTTTACGTAAAGTTACATATTTTTACACGTATAGTTACATATTTATACACACGAGTTGCATTTGGCCTGACTGAACGTGAGGTACATATTTTAACACGTAAAGTTATATATTTTTACACTCAAATGTTAATATGTTAAAATTACATAAGCAATATTTGTCTCATTTGAAAGATCATGACAAATAAAAAAATTTGATATAAATTTTATAAAAATTCAGATCAAATATAAAAAAATTATTAACATTTTTAAGAAAAGAAAAATAAAAAATAACAAAGCCATAGATATACTCCTTCCGTCCCTTAAAACTTTGTCATTTTTCCTTTTTGGGACATCCCAAAAAACTTTTCCTACTTTCCCTTTTAATCAATTATTTTATGGTTTCTGTTATTTCTCTCTCCTCTGCACAAACCTCAACCACACAGTTTTTACTTTATTATTCTCCGTGCCGGTCAACTTTGGCAAAGTTTTGAAGGGAGGGAGGTAGTATGAACTGCTTCTTCCCTTTCCGTAATTTTTTCTATTCGGGCATTCCTTTTTTTTCAACAAATCGGACCCCACCTTCACCTTTATGTACTCCCCTACCCCTCAACCGCAATAAAAGATGTGCACCAAATAGTGGGGGTGGAATGAGATGCCAAACGGGATAAGGCAATAGAAAAATGGAAAAGCCATACAATCACGGCCCCACTCGCTTCATGCACGTACCCTCAATCAGACGCCCTGTTCCTTTTCCCCTTTTTTCTTATTCATTCATTAATTCTCCAATAAGTTCAATCCTAAAACTAGTGCTCCCAGAACCCGACCCACCCGACCCAAAAGAGCACATGAGAAGTTATAAATTACGGTAATTCAATTAATAGTAGTAAGCTTTATATTTGTGTACACGAGATATCTAGTGTACTAGTGTAGTACACAACAATTGTAAGCTCTTCACGATCGCTTTCGATCATCAATTATTACTTCAAATTTCTTACCATTTGTCCGATTTAGACCTTGGTTCAAAAGGTGGAATCTCCAACCCCATGAGCCCCTCATACCCCGACTCGATAGGATTTTTGGAAGGATGTTAATCACGGTGACTCAGTCGGCTCAATGATGGTAGACCTTTTTCCTGTGCGCACTAGAGGTCCAACCTTATTTCAGGTTCTGTGACCTCCACACGGCCGCTACGGGTTTCAAATCTTGGTCACTTGCTCCAAATTTCTCACCACTGTCCGATTTAGACCTATAGTACTCATGTAAGCAAATTTTCATACGGAGTATTCATTAGTCAAACGCCTAAACGCGTTGAACTTGGACACCCGGTTCTACACGCAGCACACAGTGCGGGTCTATGATTAGATAGATACACTCCAACTTGCCTGTATTTTAATCATTTTCTAAATTCCCCTTTCCCAACTTTCATTTCTTCTGCTTCCAAGCAACACCCATTTAAGGTTCCAATTCCAGTTCATAAATACTAGAGCACCCATTTCACACCATTTCTATATCAGCTCTTTACCTCTCTTCTCATCTTCTTTTATGTTCCCTGCTCAAATATACACTTCACCTCTGTTTCTGGAAGCTGCAGGATCATGGCTGTGCTGGGAGAAAACGTTTTGGATGGAGATCTGATTACGATTCGGGAGGTTTGGGCGGATAACATCGAATCTGAATTCGATCTCATTAGCCAGATCGTGGATAGCTATCCTTACATCTCCATGGATACGGAGTTTCCCGGAGTTGTGTTCAAGCCGGAGAATCAGACTCACCGTCGCCGGAGTGGATCTCCGTCGGCTTCCGATCGCTGCGCCGACCAGTACCAGTCGCTAAAGTCAAACGTTGACGCTCTCAATCTGATCCAGCTAGGATTGACTCTTTCCGATGCCAGCGGGAACCTGCCGTTGCTCGGATCCGGCGGGACCCGGTGCATCTGGCAGTTCAACTTCTCCGACTTTGACCTCGCGCGTGATCTCCACGCTCCGGACTCGGTGGAGCTGCTCCGCCGGCAGGGCATCGACTTCGAGATGACCCGTGATCGCGGGGTTGACTCGGCCACGTTCGCCGAGCTGATGATGTCATCCGGTCTGGTCTGCAACGAGTCGGTCAGCTGGGTGACGTTCCACAGCGCGTACGACTTCGGGTATCTGGTGAAGATCCTCACGCGCCGCGCTTTGCCGGCGGGCCTGGAGGACTTTTTGGGCATTTTGAGGATATTTTTCGGGAGCCGTGTCTATGACGTTAAGCATCTGATGAAGTTCTGCCAGAGCCTGTACGGCGGGTTAGACCGGTTGGCGGAAATATTGGAAGTGGACCGGGTTGCTGGAAAGTGTCATCAGGCCGGTTCTGATAGCCTGCTGACATGGCACACTTTTCAGAGAATGAGAGATATGTACTTCGGTAAGGAAGGACCGGCAAAACACGCCGGAGTGTTGTACGGACTAGAAGTTTTTTAGGAGTATAATTCATTTGGTTCTAGTCTAGTCCTTTTAGTAAATAAAATAAGCTTAATTATCAAATTCTTTTGCCTATCAGTTTAATGAAATAGAGTATTAAATTAAGTCAGAAAGATATTAAATTAGTGGTGCTTCAATATGACCGGTACATTACTTTCTCACATTACTTAAATTAGATCCAATCATATGAGATTTGAACAATTAGGATGTTTTTACTTGGACCTTAATTCGTTCCAGACCAGATCAAATCAGATCAGACCGGACCAGTTTAGACCAGACCAGATTTGGATAGTTATAAAAATACAAAGAAACCAGACCAGTTCAAACCAGACCAGTTCAGACCAGACCAGATTAGATCAGACCAGACCAGAGCAGCAAATTACAGTCCAAGTAAAAACATCCTTATACATATACTCCGTATTAAACAAATATTTACCGTACCACCCTACTTGGATAGTTGGATCGAATTGAACTAGCTGCGAATCACATTCCACATGATATTTACAATTAGTACACTTAGTACTAAAGAAAGCAACCAAATAATAAACAAATTATTGACTGTTTGAAGAATAAAGAGCCCAATTTATACCAGTAATAGTACTATACTACTATTACAATTTGCCCATGAGATACTAACCAGGTCCCATTAGAAGGTTCTTGTCCAATATTCAAATGGTCAACTTAAATCATTTTTAATCTTTTACTTTATAAATCAAATTTTTATCAAATTTACATTTTTTATCAAGATTTGTAGCGGTTTTAATGTAGTTTCTGAATATGTTACTTTTAATTATTAAAAATAATCAGAGTGTGAACAAGAATTAAACTGCTTTATCGTCAGTCAAGCATTGTAAACCATCAACGGAAACCTTCTAGCGGGACGGAGGGAGTAGTTTTTTTTGCATAATATGTGGCTCTTTTGTCTCGCTTAATTGGGCAGAAGTTTTCTTCAACTCATGGTGATTTTTCCCTCCATATAGTATCCTAAAATTTCCGGCATTTGAAGGCAAAATGTATGCACTTATAGGACATATTTCTTCCATTTATGTCCTCGTATTTTGTGCATTCATTAGCATAATTTTCTGCATATTTTGGATGTACTAGATTCTCACCCGCGCGATGCGCGGAATATTAAAATGTAATAGTGATACGACATTATTTGTAAATGCTATTTGGCTAAGTGAAACGAAAGCAAATTGTCATACACTTAACACGTATACTAAATAATGATTAAAGATCGGATAACAAAGACTCAGAGATAAGTAGTAAGTATATTTGGAATAAGTTGGAAAAAGTAAACGGTAACAGGACTTCACAAACTACACATTACGAAAAACTTCCTTATAAACTACATTGGTGGTATGGTTAGTTGATTGACCGTCTTCATCGCAAATTAATATCTTCAGACCCTTAGGATTTGTTACCCTTGACACTGCAACATACAGCTGACCATGCGTGAAGACTGACTTTTTCAGTAAAAGTCCAACATGAGACAAAGATTGTCCCTTACTTTTATTTATAGTCATCGCATAAGAGGTCATGACCGGAAATTGTCTTCTCTGAAACTTGAATGGTATTCTTGAATCCGAAGGAGTTAAGCTTAACCTCGGAATGACAACTTCATGCCCGGCATATTTTCCGCCCATAATTTTTGCCCCTAAGATATGATTTCCAAGTCTTGTAACAATTAACCTTGTTCCATTGCAAAGCCCCATGGAAGGATCAATATTCCTTAAAAGCATTATTGGAGTACCGACCTTTAGGGTCAACTCATGGTTTGGGACTCCGGATGCACGTATTTTGTTTAGAAACTCTGGAGTATGCAAATCAGCCAGAAAATCGGCATTCGAGTCTGACTTGCAAATGCTATCTGAACTTAGATATGTCCTTGACTCTTCGTTAACATTCATAGAAGTCATGTATTCATTAACTGCATCGACAACATCAAGGGTTGGAGCTAGAATTGCGCGCTCTTGCAAGTAAGTCGGGTCATTCACAATACTCTCATAGTTTGGGTAGGTGTTTTGGACAATAGTGGCAATGGGGTCGCTTCCACACTCTAGCAAAAACTCGTTTGGAATCTGAACATTTGCAAAACCATCATTATCTTCCCCAACAATCTCGTCCCCTAAACTCGCAATTCACTTAGCAAACTCAAGCAAATCTTCGTACTCACGATCATCAGTCAATGATTGCAACCTCATGTTCTTTGTCAAACGTAATACCAAGCACTCATGCCAAATATACGAAGAATTAATCGTGGCATTCACAATGTCTTGTCTAGTACCTTTAGTAACGACAGGTAAAATTTGTCTGAAGTCTCCCCCGAAGACCACTGTTTTCCCCCCAAACGGTTTTTCAGCACTATTTGTATTAGTGAATCTCAAGATGTCCCGCAGACTTCTATCTAAGGCTTCGAAGCAATACTTGTGCATCATCGGCGCCTCATCCCATATGATCAGTTTGCATCTAATTATCAATTGAGCCAGTGGACTACCTTGTTTGATGTTGCATGTGGAGTTTTCGTTTGGGTTATTGGTATTGCAAAGCGTGAATGTGCCGTCCTACCACCCGGTAACAACAAAGCTGCTATGCCGCTCGAAGCAACATTTAAAACAATTTCTCCTTTGGACCTCAAAGCAGCCGACAACGTCTTCCACACAAATGTTTTCCCTGTACCTCCATAACCATATACAAAGAACACCCCACCATTATTTTGTTCAACAGATTGCACAATGGTTATGTACACTTGACGTTGTTCATCATTGAGACTCTGCATGCATCTGTCATGCTCTTCACGCAAGGCAGCACGATCGTACTGTAACTCGTCAAAAATAAGCCTGTTCTGATACATGGTAGCATCATTTATCGTTGGAAATGGCATCGATGGATAGTCCTTTAAAGTCCTACCAATTCTCCTTAACATCATTTCTATTTCAGTCAATGCATAATTCTTAATCTCAGCCTCGGTCAACTTCAAATCTGATATTACATGCATCAAAACAGTCATATCAAATAACATGTGTAATATATTATGTAAGGTTTTGAATATCAATACATATATGTATATATACATATTTGTTTGTAAAGATATATGTATATGTAATATATGAACTGTTTAGTACCTCGATGCATTAAGACTCTTCTTTGCCTGTGTAGAATGTCATCTGACATAAATGTCCAACATTTGTCCCACACATATTCTGGTCTACTCATTGTATCAGCTGATAATAAAATGACAAACAACTTTATGAGTAACCATGCAGTAGCCCAATAACTACCTTCTGAGAATCCTTTAACGTACTCCTTGTCATCATCCAACAACCCTAACGCGAAACACACATCGCGGTATGTATTGTGAGTAATTCCATCCACAGTTCTAAGATCATCATAGCTTGTAGCCCCACGCCTCAAATTAAGGACACATCGCAAATAATAAGCTTCTCCTGATCCCGGAGGCACATACATTAGACGGCCTATGGCAAACCCCTGCTTCCGAGGTTGCCATTCTCTTGTTTTGGCTTTCCAAACAAACTTTTGAGGGAATTCAGCATAAGTTAAATCCCTTGCCTCAGGGTACTCGACATTTGCTCTCATCCATGCAAGAAACATACTCTCCTTGACAGATTCTCGCAACACGACTTCACTTACAGTTGCACCATCTTCAAAATAAACATACTGCTCATTACGGAAGTGAAAGCTCAAACGTTCAACACATGGATTCTTATACTGAATTCTGAATCCAAAAATTCTCCACATTGCGTCACATGGAGAAATATACCGACAATCATAGTACATTTTTATTTCATCAACAGGTTTCTCAGTTTCATCTTTATCTGTTGTTTCATAAAATCCTGCTGTGACACGATCATTTCCTTTGTTCACGTATTTGAACAAATATTTTATTGACCTCGATTGATTGCACCACTCCACATTAAGATGAGCACCGTACCTCATCAACAATGTTCTGTTGTGGGGCACAACATATCTATTGTCAAGTGGTGTTTTTCCTTTGACAATTGTTCTGCCATCATTCCGCCTCCTATATTTAGGATAACCCTCTTCATCAACGTTAGTTTGCTCGTTGAAGTTCTTAGGGAAGTGCTTTGAACATTTGGACTGAACCATGCAAGGGGCGTTTCTTGCATCACTGCCACATGGTCCGTGCATCATATGTGTGCACACAACTTTAAAATAATCAGGATCAGCCTCCTCATCAGGTATTTCAGCTGAAATTATGCAGTCAATGTCTGCTGGGGTGGGGAATTTGTCTGCATTCCCCATGAACAATAGAATATGAGCATGTGGTAGCACACGCTTTTGGAATTCGATTGTGTAAATCACTGCGAGGAGTCAACATAACAATTATTTTTTTATTACACACACAAACAAACATATATATCTGTGTATTTATAAGAAGCTACACATGTGATGAACTCAATATACCTGCTCGAATTTGTCCAAATACTTTACTTTGTCTTACGTATTTGATCAAGTCATTTAGCTTCATCTTAAACACTTGACAAATTATATCTGGACGATCTTCGGGATTCAAATTCCTTGAAGAAAGGAATTTATTAATTTCAGGCCATCTTGGGTTACACGTGAAAGTCAAAAACAGATCTGGGTACCCTGCCCACCGACATATAGTCATGGCGTCCTGATAATTTTGAACCATGTATCGAGCGCCCCCAACGAATGTCGGTGGAAGGACAACTCGCTTACCCTGTGTTGACGCATCCATCTCACCGTTTAACAAAGCATCTGATAGACCTTTGTACATTTCACACCGCAGTTCTTTTTGATGGGTCCTAATATACATTAGCCTTGACGACTCAACCATTGTGTATCCATCAACTGTGAATTGTTGGAATAGTCTCCTACTCTTAAAGATGAAAGAGTCCTCGCTTGCTCGTTCATGCAATTTGTAAGCAAGAAACTCTCTAATGCTAACACTCCGTCGACCACACGTGTTTGACGATTTCTCATCAGAAAAGGCTATATCCTCCCTGTACCCATCCTCGCCATATGGAAACAAAAGCGGATATTGCAATCCCAAATACGTTGGATTTAGCTCGTTTATTCTTTTCAAATACACTCCTTGAGTTTCAACCATGATATCTCTTTGCCCAAGTGATTCATCAAAATCACCCACCACCAA